CTCACTGTGCAAGTCCTACTGTAGATGTGTCATGTGTGTAGCGTGTCGTGTGTCATGTGCCCACAGAACACACCAGCTCACTGTGCAAGTCCTACTGTAGATGTGTCATGTGTGTAGCGTGTCACGTGTCGTGTGTCCACAGAACACACCAGCTCACTGTGCAAGTCCTACTGTAGATGTGTCATGTGTGTAGCGTGTCGTGTGTCATGTGCCCACAGAACACACCAGCTCTCTGTGCAAGTCCTACTCCGATGCGCTGGAAAAACTACAGGAGCATCTGAGGCATTCTAGTCTGAGGGGTGAGTGGGTGTGTGTCTGTTTGTGTGTCAGTGTGTGTGTGTGTGTCTGTTTGTGTGCCAGTGTGTGTGTGTCTGTCTGTCTGTGTTTATCTGTGTGAGGGATGAGTGGTTGTTTGTCTGTTTGTGTGTCAATGTGTGTGTGTGTCTGTGTGTGTGTCTGTTTGTGTGTCAGTGTGTGTGTTTCTATTTGTGTCAATGTGTTTGTGTGTGTGTGTCTGATTGTGTGTTTGTCTGTGTGAGAGGTGAGTGTGTGTGTCTGTCTGTGTGTCTGTCTGTGTGTCTGACTGTGTGTTTGTCTGTGTGAGAGGCGAGTGTGTGTCTCTGTTTGTGTGTCAGTGTGTGTGTGTCTGTGTATCAATGTGTTTGTGTGTCTGTCTGACTGTGTTTGTCTGTATGAGAGGTGAGTGTGTCTGTCTGTTTGTGTGTCTGTGTGTGTTTGTCTGTGTGAGAGGCCAGTGTGTTTGTGTGTGTGTTTGTGTGTGAGAGGCCAGTGTATTTGTGTGTGTGAGAGGCCAGTGTGTTTGTCTGTGTGAGAGGCCAGTGTGTTTGTCTGTGTGAGAGACCAGTGTGTTTGTGTTTGTGAGAGGCCAGTGTGTTTGTGTGTGTGAGAAGCCAGTGTGTTTGTCTGTGTGAGAGGCCAGTGTGTTTGTCTGTGTGAGAGGCCAGTGTGTTTGTCTGTGTGAGAGGCCAGTGTGTTTGTGTGTGTGTTTGTGTTTGTGTGTGTGAGAGGTCAGTGTGTCTGTGTGTGTGAGAGGCCAGTGTGTTTGTCTGTGTGTTTGTCTGTGTGAGAGGCCAGTGTGTTTGTCTGTGTTTTTGTCTGTGTGTTTGTCTGTGTGTTTGTCTGTGTGAGAGGCCAGTGTGTTTGTCTGTGTGTTTGTCTGTGTGTTTGTCTGTGTGTTTGCCTGTGTGTTTGTCTGTGTGTTTGTCTGTGTGAGAGGCCAGTGTGTTTGTCTGTGTTTGTCTGTGTGAGAGGCCAGTGTGTTTGTCTGTGTGTTTGTGTGTGTGAGAGGCCAGTGTGTTTGTCTGTGTGTTTGTGTGTGTGAGAGGCCAGTGTGTTTGTCTGTGTGTTGTCTGTGTGTTTGTCTGTGTGTTTGCCTGTGTGTTTGTCTGTGTGTTTGTCTGTGTGAGAGGCCAGTGTGTTT